TGCACTCATCCAGGTTCTGAGTCCAAGGACAGCACAGTGTCCAGAGTCCCGGTAAAAATAGAGCCGGGGTGGTGGCTGGCCTCCCGGACCTCTGGCTGCCCAGGACCCTGGAGAGTCAGCCCAGTGCCTCCAGCAGAGGAGGAAACTGCAGCCCAGAGTGGGCAAGTGACCCGGCCAGGCTCACAGAGCAGTTGGGCAACAGAGCTGGAGCCGGAGCCCCAGGCCTCCCAGCTGGCATTCTCCACAGTACCTGAGCCCTCCCTGTGGGCCCTGAGGCAGGCCCTCCCCTCTCTAGATGGTGACAGCCTTCCTTACCTGAGTCTCCACTGCCTGTAATCTCCGTGAGGCCTGGCGGGATGGGCGGGGCTGTCCCCCTGCGATGCACTTACCAGGCATAAGAAGAACAAGAACAAACAGCTCACAAGGTGTGCCGGGTGCTTTCCAAGTGCTGTACACATATTCACCCATTCATCTTCACACCAGGCCTAGGAAGCAGAAGCTGCCATCACACCCATTTTCCGGATGAGGAGACTGAGGCCCAGAGAGGTTAACTGACTTGCCTAGAGTCACAAAGTGTGAAGTTTGGTGTGGCTGGTACTCCAAGCCAAGCTGTCTGGCTCTAAACGAATTGATGGATGCAAAGGAAAATAAAGGCTTGGTGCTCCAGCATAGCTAACAGCTGCTGCTGTCATTTGATTTTGGGGCCACCAAAGGTCACAGAGTCCTCCCTACCACACACACAGGTAGGCTGGGCCCAAACCGTACTCTCGGAGTTCCTTTTGTAGGGGACCGTGGTGCTGGGAGTGGAACCACTCCTTCAAACGCTAAATCTCATTCCCAGCCAGATAATTCCTTGTCATTCCCCAAGGCAATTTGGTGGGATGGGTCAATGTGAGGGTACAAAGCAGAGAGCAGCCTGAAAGAGCATGTTCCAAATTTTATTTCTTTTGGTTGAGGTATGGTAATCATTTTAACAATACAACGTTCCAGGAGGTGGCTCATAACTGTGGCACTTTGGGAGACCGAGGTGGGAGGATCCTTTGAACCCAGGAGTTTGAGACTTCTCCCGAGCAACATAGTGAGACCCCGCCTCTAAACAAAAATAAATAATATTTTAGTCCCAGCTACTTGAGAGGCCGAGGCAGGAAGATCCCCTGAGCCTGGGAAGTTGAGGCTGCAGTGAGCCATAATCGCACCACTGCACTCCAGCCTGGGTGACAGAGTGAGATCCTGTCTCAAAATACAATAAAATAATACAAATACAAAGAACATTTCAAGAGGGCCTGAAATGTTTGCATTTATCCTAAGGAGACTTGCCAGGAATGGGGTGAGTAGAGCCCCCTGAGGGCGTGAGGGCCCCCGCCGAGGCTGACCCAGAGGACAGAGTGGGGAGAGCTGTGTCCCAGCCCCAACAGGTGCTGGCCAGGCCAGTCCTGGCACAGCCACCCGGGTGCTGGTGATAATCACGTCCTGGGGGTCAGCTCCAGCTAGAGAGGGACAGGTGTCGGGAGAGGGTGGAGGTGGCAGAGGGGACAGTGGCTCAGGCTGAGTCATCGCAGGAAGGCTGGCGGCTGGGGACTGGGAGTGTGAGCAGAGTGGACTGTTTTCCTGGGGGAGGTAGGGCAGGAGAGGGGGGAATTATCAGGAACCTGTGACTTGGTCTATCAGTGCCAGAGAAGGGGTGGCCCTCAGGAGTTCCCAAAGGTAAATTTAGCCACCCCAACCCTTCCCCAATGGCTGCTTTATGTATTTCCTTTTCTCCCTGTAACTCGAGGGTCTAGAGGCCAGACCTGTGCCTCCCCCAGGCCCTTCACCCTCCAGCCCTGGCCGTCAGGATTCACAAACTCCACGACCCTCCTAGCCTTTCTTCCAGTCCTAGATCCCTAAGCCTAGGCCCCTGAAGCTGTCTGGCTACTCTGGATTCCGGCCCTAAGAAGGGTGGCTGAGGTTCTCTGGAGTCAGACAGACGTATTCCAGATCCCACGCACCATTTCTGAGCTGGGTGACCTCGGGCAAGCTCTTAACCACGCTGAGCCTCAGTTTTTTTCATCTATAAAGTTGAGAGAAAAACATCTATAAAGTTTTTCATCTATATAGTTTTTTCATCTATACAGGTGTGGTGGCTCATGCCTGTAATCCCAGCATTTTGGGAGGCTGAGGCAGGTGGATCACCTGAGGTCAGGAATTTGAGACCAGCTGGGCCAACATGGCGAAATCCCGTCTCTACTAAAAATACGCAAATTAACTGGGCATGGTGGCTGGCACCTGTAATCCCAGCTACTCAGGATGCAGAGGTAGGAGAATCACTTGAGCCCGGGAGACGGAGGTTGCAGTGAGCCGAGATCATGCCATTGCACTCCAGCCTGGGTGACAGAACAAGACTCTGTCTCAAAAATAAATAAATAAAATAAAATAAAATTGAGAGAACACTGTTTTTACTGCAAAACGTTATTATAAGACTTCAAAAAGCGGTGCCTGCAAAAGACCATATATCGTGTGAAAAGACCATATATCGTATGAAAAGATCATATATCGTGTGATTCCATTTATACAAAACACCCAGAAGAGGCAAATCGATAGAGACGGAAAGTAGATACGTGGTTGTCCAGGGCTAGAGGTGAGGTGGGGAGCGGGGGCGGGGGCTAAGGGCTGCAGGGTTTCTTTCTGGGGTGATGAAAATGTTCTAAAATGGATGTGGTGCTGGTTGCACACCTGTGAATATGCTAAGACTGCACTTTGGTTTTTTGTTTGTTTGTTTGTTTTTGAGACAGGGTCTCACTCTGCCGCCCAGGCTGGAGTGCAGTGGTGCAATCTCAGCCTCCCAAGTTCAAGCAATCTTCCTACCTCAGCCTTCCAAGTAGCTGGGACTAGAAGTGCATGCCACCATGCCGGGCTAAATTTGTTTATTTTTAGTAGAGAGGGGAGTCTCACTATGTTGCCTAGGCTGGTCCTGAACTCCTGGACTCAAGCGATCCTCCTGCCTTGGCCTCCCACAGTGCTGGGATTACAGGCTTGAGTCACCGTGATCAGCCTGTGCACTTTAACTGAGCAGAGCGTATGAGTGTGAGTTGCTCTGGGTGGCAGCGGGGCTGCCTGGGTGCTGGAGGCTTACAGCCCAATCTTGTGGCTGCCTGGCCACCTACCCCATGTCCTGACCAAGGGCCAGAAGCTGAGTCATTTTCCAGAGGGTGGAGGCTGAGATTTCCTCACCCAGTGTGCTCATCCCCTGCCCCCTGGAAGGGAAATGCCAGCCCAGGGTGACCGAGGTCTCAGGGGCCACTGCTAAGCTTTGATCCTTCCTGGCTGACTCTGTGACCTCCGGCCAGTGATTTCACCTCTCTGGCAGCAGTTTCCTTTTTCTGAAGAAATGTAGATGATGAAATTCCCAGTCCTTATCTCACAGGCGGCTGTTAGGCTCAAACCGACTTAATTTATGAGGACACCTTAAGAAGGGTTTAGTGTATCCTGCATGCTTGGAAAATATCTCATCATCTGCCAGGAGGGCAGCGTGGGCAGGGGCAGAGTGTGGACCAGAGACCCCGAATCCCATCCACTTTGTGCCAGAGCGGCAGGCTTTGTGAAGCCCAGTCCACCCGCTTCATGTCCCTTCCTCTTATTTCCTCAGCAGCCTGTGTCCTGCATGGCCTCGGATCTGGGACAGGCGAATCGGCCCCCCATGGCCTTGATTTGTTCATCTGTCGAATGAGGGGACTGAACCAAAAGAAGTCCAAGGTGTCCGACACTCACCTTGTTTCTGACAACCTTCACCTGCTCCCTGGCTCTGAACACCAGCCGAGTGGCCACCTTTGTCTTCAGGATTCACCCTCACCTTGTCCATGGTCCTGTGGCTTCTTTTTTACCCTTCTTCCTTCTCCTGGCCCTTGGAGGAAGGAGCCCACCTTTCTCCTGGCATGATGTAGGGTGGGTTCAACAGTGTCTTGATGAAATGACCTTAGGCATATTCTGGCTCTGGGCCTCAGTTTCCCCTGCTGAGCCCTCTTTGTCTTTGGGGGAGGATAGTGAAGAACCCCAGCATCTAGGGGTAATAGGGGTCTCAAGCGGCACTGGGTTCAACACCAAACCCAATGCTTAAGGCCTCCACTGCACCCAGGCTATGTTTGCATACCCCTGGAGGGGTGGGGAGCTCACTGCTTCTCCAAGCGACCCACTCTGTCTGTTTGCTAGACAGCAGTGACTGTGTCTAACAGGGATCACACACAGTGGCTCGTACTGAGTCTCAAAAATGAACAGGAGCAGAATGGCACGGAGGTAAGGACCTCGTTCGGGTTTGAATCCTGACTGTCTCCACCTCATACTGGCTGTGTGTGGCCGGTGAGAGTGACTTAACCTAATCAAACCTCGGTTTCTTCATGTGCAGATGGCAGTAATGAGACTTGCCTTGCGAGGTTGTTGGAAAGATTAGTGCTACGAAAACCAAACATCCCAGCACACATGAGTGTTTGTCTCATACCAGGCTCATGCATTCTCAGGAAATAGGTGCTGCTGCCACCTGCATTTGTTCAGATGAATTATTTAGAGGCACAGAGAGGTTAAGGAACTTGCCTGAAGTCACACAGTAAGTGTGACAGGTAGAGACCAGACCTGGACCCAGGCATCCTGTGCCCAGACCCCTTGTACCCTCTCAGAAGGCGTCCAGCTCTGTGCCAGCCCAACTCTCTTCTCACGATGGTATGGGTCTGAATGCTACATGCTCCCTGGACCCCAACATCCTTTTAGGCTTCATTTCTCAGAGGACAAGAGGGGCTTGGGGTTTTCCATTGTTACTTCCAGCTCTGTCCCAACTGTATCATTTCAGATCCAGAGGACGAAGGCTCTGAGTCCAGCCAGAACCCTGGGGTGTGTAACCTTAGGAGGTTTGCTAAGGAGACCAGCAAGACGAGCCGGCTGAAATCTGAGCTCTCTGACACCCACTCCTGCCCCTACAGCCACTTGGTTCCATGGGGCGTGGCTGGACAGAAGCCATCCTTTTCTCTCTGCTCTGTCCAACTGGCTTCTACCGGTAGGTGACAGGGCAGTGTTCCCAGCAGTGGGACAAGAGGTGCTGGTGCCAGGCCATGAGCCACGCATTCCTAGCTCTGCAGGGCATGCATGCCACACGGACTGTGGCAGCGAGCTCTTCCAGGCGCCCAGTGAGCCTGAGAGGGGGTCTGGGAAGAATCAAGAGACACCCAGACAGTGCCATGTGACAGTGAAGCCTCTGGCCCCAATCTGCCAGGGTGCAAGCCCCAGGACTGCTGGTGTGATGTTGGGTGAGTTATTTAACCTCACTGTTCCTATTTCTCCATCTATAAAATGGGTAGAGGGTAGTAACCTTCTCATAAGGCTGTTGTGTCAGTTTCCTATGAATTAGCACATGTAAAGTACTTAGCACGATGCCTAGCGCACAGAGAGGGCTCAGGGAGTGGCGATTGTTGTTATTATCATTCAGCATCCATCTCTCCACCTCTTTATACAACAGCTACTTAGAAAGTGTTGGATTCAGTTCTGCTCCATAACAAGGTACTCCAAAACTTAGTGGCTTAAAACTATCAGCATTTCTTCTCACATACAATGTATGAGGCATCAGGAATGTGGGAGTGGTTTGGCTGGGTGGTTCTGGCTCGGGATCCCTCATGAAGCTGTGGGCAGGATTTGGTCAGGGCTGCAGTCCTTTAAGGCTGGACAGGAGAGAGAGGATCCACTTCCAATGTGGCTCCCTCACATGGTTGGCCAGGTCATGCTGGCTGTGGGCTGGAGGCCTCAGTCCCTCACCATGTGGATCTCTCCACAATGCTGCTTGAGTGTCCTCCCAACATGGCAGCTGTATTCTCCCAGAGCACGTGGTGCAAGAGAGCCAAGGAGGAAGTGCAATATCTTTCATGACCCAGCCTTAGAGGTCTCACTTTGGCATTTATGCAAAGTCCTCTCGGTAGCACAGGTCCTCTGCTCAGTGTGGAAGCAGACTCCACAAAGATGTGCATACCAAGAAGCCAGGATCTGGGAGGCTGGCTAAACTCTGTTCTGCTTTAGGGATGCAGCAGTGAGCAAAATCACGGTGAGTGCTCTCACAGTCAAGTACGACTATGTGTGTTTGTGGTTGTGTGTGCGTGCACGTTGAGTACAAAAGAACAACAGACAGCAAACTCAAAGAAATACCTTGAGACATATTGTACGAAGCAAACAGACAGGGTGGCATGATGCTGTACAACAGGGTGTTACAGAAAAGGCTTCTCCAAGGAGGGGGCTTTGGGATTGAGGTCCGAGGGTAAAATGAGCCCACCAGGGCCCAGGGAGTGGGAAAGGGGGTTGCAGGCAGTGGAACAGCATAGGCACACTCAGAGAGGTGGCAATGCGGTGGCCCCTGGAGCTGGCCTGCCTGGCTTTAATGCTTCTTGGCCACCCTCTTTGGCCTCAGCTTCCTCATCTATAAAAGGGGATAATAACAGGTCCTACCGCCTACGGGGTTGGAGGGATTAAGGGAGATACTTTGAGTAAAGCCCATAGTGCACTGCCTGGTGAACCAAGTGCTCAGAAATGTGACTGTCATCATCACGATTCAACAGTGGCACGCGAAGATGACAAAGACCTGGCCCCCATTGTAACTGTGGGGCCTAACATGGAGGGAGGAACTATTCAGTGTTTCCTAGCGGTGATCTCACCTAATGGAAGGCAAAGATCTAGTATGGGAGATGGGCACATAAGGCAAGCGTTGGAACACCCTGGACAGGGGCTGGGAGCACAGCTGGGGGAGGGAAAGGGGGAGGAGGGTGAGCTCCCTGACCCTGCGGGGGAGGGGTGCCTGGGAAGGCTTCCCCCGGAGTGGCACAGCCATCTGGAGAGATGAGTGGGCAGAGACCCTTCTAGGTGGCCAATAGGGGCTGGAGGGAGCGCAGAGTCTAGCTCCGTGTAGTTCCAGGGGGCTGGAACTCTGGTCTCTGTGGACACTAGGAAGGAGATGGGGAAACAGACTCATGTAAATGAATGGGGTGGGCCTTGCCCGTCACAGTCGAGTGGGCTTTCCTATAGGGTGGGATCAACGAGCAGGAGGGCCGGAGGAGGCAGGGACAGACAGGTTTGGTCTTCCTCTGGCTACAGGGCGGAAGGAGTGGAGGCAGGGAGGCCAGTGGAAACACAAGGCCAAGCAAGGCATGCTGAGGTCAGCCCCAGGGCAGTGGGTGTAGGAAGGGAGGGGAGGTGGTGTGCCCCACAGGGGAAGGGGGAGCTGAGCAGGAGAGGAGAGGCAGAGGAGGGGAAGAGGGCAGTGCCTCCTGCCCATTCCACAGCCTGGCCAAGTCCTCACTCCTTTCCTGGGAGCTTCCCCCTTCCCTCCTCTCCCTGACCTCAGATGCAACTACCCCCAGCCCTAAGATAACACCAGAAGGGCTGGGCACAATGGCAAAGGCCTGTAATCCCAGCACTTTGGGAGGACGAGGTGGGTGGATCACCTGAGATCAAAAGTTCAAGACCAGCCTGGCCAACATGGCAAAACCCTGTCTCTACTAAAAAATATAAAAAAATTAGCAGGGCGTGGTGGCAGGTGCCTGTAATCCCAACTACTCAGGAGAATCACTTGAACCTGGGAGGTGGAGGTTGTAGTGAGCCAAGATCACATCATTGCACTCCAGCCTGGGCAACAGAGCAAGACTCCGTCTCAAAAAAAAAAAAGGGTAATTCCAGATAGGCATGAGATTTTGGGAACTCTTTGGCATTCCTGCATTACAGCACTTACTAATTCAATGGTGGCTACCATTTATAGAGCACTTACTGTATTCCAGGTAACACACAAATACACACACACACATCTTCATTTTAACCTCAAAATAGCCTAGCAAGGTAGGCACATGGCCCCTGTTTTACAGATGAGAATCTTGAGGATTGGAAAGGCTAAGTAATTTACCAAAAGTCACACTGCTAGTCAGAGACGGTCTGGGTTTCACTAAATTAGCTAATCGAAAGTGCTTATACTAGTGCCTGGCATATAGTAGGCACTCAATAAATGTTAGCCACACCACAATTTTTTTAAGAGACAGGACTGGGGCCGGGCACAGTGGCTCACGCCTGTAATCCCAGCACTTTGGGAGTCCGAGGCGGGCAGATCACGAGGTCAGGAGATCGACACCATCCTGGCTAACATGGTGAAACCCCGTCTCTACTAAAAATACAAAAAATTAGTTGGGCATGGTGGTGGGTGCCTGTAGTCCCAGCTACTCGGGAGGCTGAGGCAGGAGAATGGTGTGAACCCAGGAGACGGAGCTTGCAGTGAGCCGAGATCAAGCCACTGCATGCCAGCCTGGGTGACAGAGCGAGACTCTGTCTCAAAAAGAAAAAAAAAAAGAGATAGGATTGGGCTGGGTGTGGTGGCTCACGCCTGTAATCCCAGCACTTTGGAAGGCTGAGGTGGGCGAATCACAAGGTCAGGAGTTCAAGATCAGCCCGGGCAACACAGTGAAACCCCATCTCTACTAAAACTACAAAAAATTAGCTGGGCATGGTGGCAGGTGCCTGTAGTCCCAGCAATTCGGGAGCCTGAGGCAGGAGAATGGCGTGAACCCAGGAGGTGGAGCTTGCAGTGAGCCAAGATCATACCCCTGCACTCCAGCCTGGGCGAAAGAGCAAGACTCCGTCTCAAAAAAAAAAAAAAAAAAAAAAAAAAAAAAAAAAAGATAGCATCTTGCTATGTTGCCCAAGCTGGAGTGCAGTGGCTATTCACCGGTGTGATCATGGCACAGTACAGCCTCTGACTCTTGGGCTCAAGTAATCCTCCTGCAGAGTAGCTGGGACTACAGATATGCACCACCACGCTCGGCCTTTCCACTATTTTTGCTAACATCATCAGCTAGATCTGTCTGGTTGCAGAGCCCATGGCCCTCTGGGAGGCCATTTGAATTTATCTTGTCCAGTTCTGAGAGTCTGTCATCTGTTTATCTGCCCCACTGAGCTGTGGAATCCTGCAGAGCAGGGACCAGATCTTGTTGGTCTGTGGGTCTTGAGCGCCCCTCATGGGGAAGGCACAGAGTGCATGGTCAGTGATGGTTTGTTGAAGGAATGAACAATGTATCAAGTTCCTATGCCTCTTAGAATCATGGGATTTTTCCAGCCATGTTTATCCTTTAGCGTGATGGAATTTCATTAGCCATGTTTGTTTCTAAGAATCCTGGGGTTTCTCCAGCCATGTTTGACCTTAGATCATGGGATTTCTCTATGGAGGAGCTTTGGTGATCACTTCAGCCAGGACACTCTCTGGCCCATAATCCAGCTCCTACCAGCCATACCCTCCTCCTTGTCCCAGGCCAGTGCCCCCTCGCCATCCCCAGGCCAAATCTGGAGTCTCCACGAAGAGCTCACTTGTGTTGTCCTGACCTCTTAGCGGCTGGACGACTCCCTGCTTAGGCTCAGGGCAAGCCCCACCTCCCTGCCAGTCCCTCCAGCCACCTGCATCTGCCCCTGACTGGGCTGGGGTGTGTCGGTCTCCTCTCTGAACCTCTGTTTCCTCAACTGCAAAATGAGGAGGATCATTTCGAACACTTTTAGCTCAGCTTTGTCAGTTTGCTACCAGGATCCAGCTGGGTAGAGGATCCTTATGTGTTACTATCTCTCCCTGTGTCTCTGTGGGGGTTCCTTGCGGCTTCCGGGGGAAGCGCATGTCTCTTCACGGCCACTAGATGGCACCAGCGGGTCACCCGTCTCCCTGCAGGCTGACCTCAGGAGGAGTTCCACCTGTGAGGTTACACCCTAAGGACCACAGCCACCTCCCTCCTCCCACTGGTAGAAGCCCCCGAAGATCTGCCGACGGGCGCAGGCAGGATGTGCAGAGTTAGGGACAGGTGTAGGGGTCAGACAAATTTGAACTGGGGAGTTCTGAGCCAGACCCTGCTCTTAGAGAACATCCTGGATCTCTGCTTGGCAGTTAATTATCTGGGTGACCCTGGGCATGTCGTAGGACCCCTTTGAGACTTCAGGTTCTTCCTCTGTGAAACAGGGCACCAAGTCTCTTCTCCTGTGCATCATGGAAACTGAATGATACTGGGCACGTAAAATGTCCATTCTGCCTCCAGGCACAGAGCAAGCTTCCACAAGCATTAGCTGCCACAGTAGTTATTAGTGTTACTTTGAAATTTAGTATTATGTCTCAGAATCTCCTCTGGGAGGAGCCTTAGGCAGGATGCCCAGAGATCTGGGTCTGCAATGGACTGTTCTCTCGCTGTGTGACCTTTGGCAAGTCACTTCCCGTCTCTGGTCCTCGGCTTGGCCTCCGCCAGCCTCAAGAGGC